CTCACCCCACCACCAGGGCCCACCAGTGCCCAGCCGCTGCCTGCCCCTGAGGCTGCTCACACCACTGGTCCCACAGGCAGCGCTCCCAACAGCCCCATGGCACTGCTCACCATCGGGTCCAGCTCAGAGAAGGAGGTAAAAGGCTGTAGACAACTCTCTCATGCCCTTCTTCCAATTTTTCTTGTGGTGCTGGGGATGGAACCTAGGGCCTTCCTTATACATGCTAGGCAAGTGCTGTACCACTAAACTGTACCCCCAGCCTTCCCTTCCAATCCTTCTAACCCTGTACAATATTTACTTTTACCCCCAGATTGATGATGTCATTGATGAGATCATCAGCCTGGAGTCCAGTTACAATGATGAGATGCTCAGCTACCTGCCTGGAGGCACCGCAGGGCTGCAGCTCCCCAGCACGGTGAGGCCTTGATACGGGTGATTGATTGGTCTGAAAATTAGGGCATCCTTTTATCACTAAGAATACACCCTAATTTGTTGGCTGTGTATATATGAGACCCTTGCCATTGATTGTACTAAGGTAGAGAGGGAGGCCCTATGATGAGAATATGGCATAGTATTGCCCTTGGGCCTTGTATTGGACTATGTGAAGCGGAGGCCCTTATAGACTTTGAAGGGAGTTTATGGAGATATTAAGGCATACCAAAGCACTTGGACTTTCCTGTAGAAGTACCAAGAGATAAGAATCATATAGCAATTTGAATATCCCAAGGGAGTCAGATGTTTGGGGCATCCCCAGACCATGTATTGACTGGAACATGCCCAAAGGCTCAAAATTTGGTGTGGGTTGTAACAAGTGGTATCTTGTAGTGTACTGGGCCAAGAGGCAAGGCCCTAGTAGAGAATGAGTAAAACTTTCTGGAATAAGGGATGTACTATTATAACATTCTGACACTAGCACATTGTAAGGATCTCATAGCTTGCTTTGCAATATACATAAGTAGCTATGGTTTGACTTTGTTCCCACTTATCAAGAGGATAGAAGCATTTGTAGTCCAGACATGGTACCACACACCTATAATCCTAGCAACTCGAGAGGCTAAGGCAGGTGGATTGCAAGTTTGAGGCCAGCCTCAGCAACTTCACAATACCCTATCTCAAAATAAAAGAATAAAACAGGCTATAGATGTAGCTCAGGGGTAAAGTGCCTCTGAGTTTAATTCCTAGTACTCTCCCCCAAAAAGAATGTATAAAAATAGTACCAGTTTGGATCTGGGGGTATAGCCCAGCAGTAGAGTGTTTGCCTAGCATGTGTGAAGACCTGGGTTCTATTCCCAGTACTACAAAAAATTGGTACCAGTTTATTAGAACTTTGTCTTTTTTAATTTGTGTGGTCCTGGGGATTGAACTTAGGGCCTCTCTCACACTAGGCAAGCACTCTACCACTGAGCCACATCCCCAGTCCAGAAGTTTTCATTGATTTGGACACAGGGATTGGGATCTTATATCAGACAGATAAGGAAGTGTCAAAACATGACAATTCATCAAGAGGTGGGACTTGGGTGTACTTTTATACTGGTTTGTTGCACTGGAGTAGATCCAGGAGAGTGTAAAGAAAAACATTAGGCTGATACAAAAGCAGTGGTAGTTGTTGAGTAGTTGAGAGCAGAATGTGTGGGAAAATGTCCCTAGAGTCATTTTCCTAGAGTTAGGACCTTGGTACATGGCGTGGTATTTAAGGTGGAATGACTTGATCAAAGTGAAAGACTGAAGATTAGGTTGGAATGCTCCAGAAGGCCAGATTTTGGGTGGAATGTTACCATGACAATTTACCAAGGTCTGAGGAGATTGGGTTGGAGTGTTCCAAGAATGTTGGATTGGAATGTTGTGCTGGGAGGAGCTATCAGACTGGAATGTCACATCAGAGCTGAGAAAGACCTGAGAATGGTGGTTTTCCAGCATTTCTTCTCAGGGCCAGCACTGTGGTTTGGGAGAGGGCTTTGGGAGATCCCCTAAAAGATTTGAGGGACCTGGTATGGGTGATAGGCATACTAGGCAGGCCCTAGTCACTCAGCAAAGCACAAGAGGTCCACTTTGCTCTGTCCCCCCACATTGGGTTGCCATGTGAAATTTCCTTGAAGAAGGAAGGGTTCCTGGGACAACCAGTCCTTGCATTAGAGGGCCCTGTCTTTGGGATGTGTGGGGGCAGTCAGGAGCTTGGTTCTGAGGAGAGGCTGAGCCTGGGGCCTATTCCCAACCATTGTGTCTATGTTCTCGCTGCCCTCAGCTGCCTGTGTCAGGGAATCTGCTTGACGTGTACAGTAATCAGGGTGTGGCCACGCCAGCCATCACTGTCAGCAACTCCTGTCCAGCTGAGCTGCCTAACATCAAACGGGAGATCTCTGGTAAGTACCAGAATCTTGGCTTCATACCCCCACCTTGTACCTTGGGCTGAGCTCCATGCCTGCCAGGTCTTGGGGTGTAGCTCAGTAGTAGGGTGTCTGTTTGGCATTCATGAAGCCCTGGGTTCAGTTCCCAGTACCAAAAAGGGGGAATAAAAAACAAGCTAGCAAGAATGAAATGGGCTGTTTTTGCATTTTCTTTATATGATCCATGGTCCTGCTTTCACCTCACTTCTTCTCATCTTGGGTATAACAACTGGCTTGTCATCATGTCCTCATAAAAATAATAAAGAAGAGTCACTTTTTAAAAAAATTCACTTCAAGCTGAGTTTGGTGGCCTGTACCTATAGTCCCAGCTACTCAAGAAACTGAGGCAGGAGGGTTGCTTGAGCCCAGGAGTTCATATCATGGGCAACACAGTCTGACCCCATCTCTTTAAAGAGTCACTTCCCTGGTCCCCAGCCCACCAACCCCTACCTCTGTATCTGCACGTGCTCCTTCTTTCTGTGTCCAGAGGCCTTTACCACCCCTGCTCTCTTCCAGAAACCGAGGCAAAGGCCCTGTTGAAGGAACGCCAGAAGAAAGACAATCACAACCTGAGTAAGCCTGAGTGTGCACGCTTGCCCATGCGCTACACATTCCTGCTTTGCTCTGAGTTCTGGCCCTCTCTCCATGGGGAGCCCCCTCCCTATACCAGCTTTCCAGCATCCCATTTTCTCTTCCCTCTTTTACCCATTGATGACTCTTTCACCTTTTCTTTCTCTCTCCCTGCCTCCAAAGTTGAGCGTCGCAGGCGATTCAACATTAACGATAGGATCAAGGAGTTGGGCACCCTCATTCCCAAGTCCAATGACCCGTGAGTCTGGGCTGGGGATCCCAGGCCAGTGGGAGGTGGGGGGTGCCCCATGCTAAAGAATTTGTTCTTTGATTGGCCTTCCATGAAGTCTTGCCCAAGCGCCAGTTCTCTTCTGGTCTTTTCTCAGCCTGAGCAGGGTTGCAGACTCTCACTGTGTGCCCATCTAAAATATTAAGTGTGTGGTGGTATGGTTTATATGTCATGTCTGCTCCCTACAGAACATATTGCACCTAGTGTTCTATTCACTTAGTACTTCCTTTATTTATTCTATTCAAGATTTATTTATTGAGCCTCTATTTTGTATCAGGTACCGTGGTAGGCCCTGAGGATACCAGAGGGAAAAAAAGAGACAGAGATCCTTGACCTCATAGAACTCATGTTTTAGTTGGGGCAGACAGACAGTAAACAAGATGAATTAGTAAAATCTGTGAGATTCACATTTTGATCAGTGTCAGGGGAAAAACAAAGAACAGAAAGAAGCTAGGCACAGTGGCACACTCCTATAATTCTAGCTACTCAGAAGGCTGAGGCAGTTGGATTGCAAGTTTGAGGCCAGCCTTAGCAACTTAGCAAGGCCCTAAGCAACTTAGTGAGACCCTGATTCAAAATAAAATATGAAAAGAGCAGGAGTGTAGCCCAGTGGTAGAGCTACACCCTAGCATGTGCAAGGCCCCAGGTTCAATCCCTAGCACCCCCCCCACACACACATACACACACTTGCAAAAAAACAGAACGAAGGTGGGAGAGTGTTGGTGCATTGAGGAAGGTGAGAGTTTGGGGTGGAGAAGGTGAGATTTTGGGGTGAGAAGGGTGGAACAGGTGGGCCTCAACTCAGGACAGACTTCAGCTAATAAGGAAACATTTGAATTAAGAGCCTAAAGATGGGGGCCTAGGGTATAGCTCAGTGGTAGAGTGCTTACCTCACATGGTCAAGGCCCTGTATTCCATCCCCAGCACACAAGAAATAAAAAGCATAAGCAGGCTAGGTAGGTAGCCATGTAGGTGTTTGGATGAAGAATATTCTAGGCAGAGGGCACAGGTGGGCAGAAGCCCTGAGATGTTGATGGTTTTCCATGTTCTACAAGCAATGAGAAGCCATTGTGGCTGTAGTGCAACAAATGAAGAGGGCCATATATGGCAAAGGATCCAGATGGGGTCAGGTCACACAGGTCTTCCAGGGTTTGGTGTGTAAACCCTTTCTAGACAGGGAGTTTTCATACCCTTGAATAGCCTTGCCTCAAGTTCTGGGCATCTGGTAGGGTGTTCCATTTACCTGGTATGATCCCCCCTCACCTCTTGAGAGACTCCATATTCAGCCTTTCCATTTTTCTTCTGCCTTGGGCCCCATAGAGAGATGCGCTGGAACAAGGGCACCATCCTGRAGGCCTCTGTGGATTATATCCGCAAGTTGCAGAAGGAGCAACAGCGCTCCAAAGATCTGGAAAGTCGACAGCGGTCCCTGGAGCAAGCCAATGGCATCCTGCAGCTTCGAATTCAGGTCTAGAAGGAAGAGATGGTGGCAGGGGTGACCGGGTGGGAGTGGAGGATCCTGCAGGCAGAGGCAGAGCAAGAACAGACCTGGTTTCCCATCTTGGCATATTTGGGGGATTCTCCAGGTTTCCTGATTCATAAGATGATGATGATGATGATGATATATAATAATCAAAACATTAATAAGAATACTAATTAATGTTAGCTAACACTAATAACATTTATGACTATTAGCTAAAATACATGATGTTTATCTTGTGCTACACACTGTAACAAGTTTTATATCCATTAACTCATTAATCCTTACAACAGTCATATGAGATGATGGGGACCATTATTATAACCCTTTTATAGACTGGGACTCTGAGGCTCAGACTTTAAGCCACTTGCCTAAAGTTTTGAAACTATCCAGTAGCAGAAGTTGAATTGGAACTCAGGCAGTCTGCCTCTGGGAGACTCAGAACCCCATCTTTTTCTGTACCCATCCCCTACTTTTTACAGGAGCTAGAACTGCAGGCCCAGATCCATGGTTTGCCAGTGCCTCCCACCCCAGGGCTGCTCTCCCTAACCACAACTTCAGCCTCTGACAGCCT